GGGGGGTGGGTGATAATATGAGCAAAGGGGTCAAGGCCATGATGGTGATACCTACAGAAACAGCTGACCTGAGCTAGTGAGAGCTCACTGACTCTGTACTGATAGCAGGGCAAACCTGCATAGAACAAAATTAGGCCCACTGAGGGTGGGGGACAGTTGTGAGGCTTGAATAGTCTGTGGAGCCACTGGCAGTGGCACCAGGCTTTATCCCTAGTGCTTGAACTGGCATGTAGGAGCATAATCTTTTTGCTCGGTCTAGATACACAGGGGAAGACCTTGGTCCTGCCTCCAAGTGAAGTGTCAGATTTTGTTGACTTCCCATGGGAAGCTTTACCCTCTCTGAGGAGTGGATGATGAAGTGGGGTGGAAGAAGGTGAAGGAAGCAGGAGGAGGGGAGGGACTAGGGGTGGGATAGCTATGTAAAATGAGAAAAGATTTTATTTTAAAAATTCTTAATAGAAAAAAAGAAAAAAAAGAAACTCTGCCTCGAAAAACCAAAACCAAACCAAACCAAACAAAGATAGTCATGCTCTAGCAGAGATGGTCTTAGAAAGTGGCAAAGGTGCCTTTAAATAAAGATCATGCTAGAATTTTTAAATTAATAAAACCAAAATCCACCTATTAATAGGAAGTTCTCACAATTGGTCCATGGCCAGTTCTATTCTTTAAAGTCATCAAGACTTTAAAGAGCTTTCATTTGTCAGGTTACCTCAGAAAACGTTTGTCCTAGAAGGAGTTAAGAAAATATTTTAGCTATTTAGCCTGTTAAATCACATTTTAATATAAATAATATGTTTTTTGAAATAACTATTTTGACAATGTTAATGGGCAAATAGTAGTACCAATTTAGGGTTTTAAATATCTTTTGCTATCAAGACTAAAATTAGTAACTTAAGAGCCATATTGCCTAGGGTGGCAGAATAAGGACAATCAAAATATCCTTTTTCAAAAAAGCAGCAACTGACACCCTTAGTTGTTTAGAGTTTAAAGAAACACTAACACCAAACTGACAATATCAACTCTTTCAGAATCTTAACAGCTAGGATATAGCTTAAAGGGAGAGTGCTTTGTTAGCACACACAGGGCCCTCTAACACTGAACAATAAGTATTCTTCAAGCCAACGGGGTCAGGACTGTGTGGAACACGATCAGACCAGCGAATTCCATGAATGTGAACATAAGCCTACTCTACTTCGACTGTGAAATGAGCTCCCTGTTCAGGGACAATACTGTGCAGAGTACCATGATGGTGGCTAAGGAATTCTGTTAAAGTCCCTGGGTAATAGTTTGGACAGAGGCATTATGAACATGAAAAGCAAACTTGCAACCAGAGTTTATGCATCTATCCTCACAAGGGCAAAGTGCTGCCCTGTCCATTATGGGTGAGTTCTAATGCACCAACCCACCATACTGCTCTGGACAGAACTCATAAGTCTCTTATATGATCCCAGACCCCATCAAGTTGATGATGAAGATCTTTGCTCACAATGTCTGAGACATGAAGGCTAGGAGTGGCTTCCCCACATCCCTTCAACTTCACTCTTCAAATATGATCAGATAAGTATCGCTGTGGAGATGTTTCTGTATCTGGGTAGTGACACCAATCAGTTTTAGGATTGAACATATTTCACAAACCCATAAGCTTTAATGGAAAGTTCTACAGTATGCACAGTGCATCAGATAGGGAGTTTAAATATCAAGGCAATATGGGAAACTGTTAGAAGGCCAGGACACAGGCGTGAGGGGCTCTTCCCCACAACAAACTTAGAGGTGTGTGCTAGTCACACACATTTCCTCCTGTTGTTAAGAAGGCTTAGATTTAACATCCTGTAAGATCGCTCAGCAGTGGCTCAGCCTATTCTCCGATGTGCAAGAATCTAACAAGAAGGGAAATCCACTTCATCCTTTCTTCTCTTAGTCCTCTGGTTATATGCTACAGTTATTCTTGGGGTTATGTGCAGGCTAGAGGATGTTTTCTTATCTTAGGATTAAACGGATGTCCTCGCACAATTGATCAAAAGGACTTGAAGCTCCAACTTTTGTAGATGTCACATCTCTATTAACTCTTGGTACAGTCACAAAAAAAAAGACTTTATTTGGAAGCCTGTAAACAGAAGTTTCTGTTCCACTCAGTCCTGGAGCTGTTCTGTCCCAAAGAAACACACAGATGCTTATATTAGTTATAAACTATTTGTCCTATTAACTCAGGCTTATTATTAATCAGCTCTTACAACTTTAATTCACCAATAATTCTTGTCTATGTTTAACCATGTGGCTTGGTACCTTTTATCAGTGAAGCATTCTCATCTTGCTTCCTCTGTAACTGGCTGGTGACTGTGTCTCTGCCTTTCCTCTTCCCAGAATTCTTTTAGTCTAGTCTCCCTGCCTATACTTCCTGCCTGGCTACTGGCCAATTAGCATTTTATTAAACCAATGTAGCTCCCCTTTTTTCCTTTCAAAACAAGAACCCTGAATCTATTCTCCTTTTTTTTAACTTTTTCCCTGACCATTTTCCATAACAACTTATAACCAACACTCTAAACAAAGACAAACATCCATAATCCAATTTTTTGAGAATGTGGGCATAGTTTTGTAGGCTACTTCCTGATGACTGGGGGCACTGATCATCTTATGGGGACACAAAGAAAATTTAGGATTATGGTATAGTCCTGACTGTTGTATTGTATGGTTTTGAATCATCTCAGTCAACATTCTTAAGGTTGTTCTGGATGTAGAGCTTAGAGGAAACTGCACTAGAGGTACTCTGAAACATTGGATAATCTGGGCCATCCATTACTAATGAAGATTTTTCAGGGGGTCTTCCTCAATCAATCCTTATTTTTCTTAACCCAGAATAAATCCACAGCCTCTCATTTCCTGTTGAAACAAAAGCAAAACCTCTTCTCTGAGGTAACATATCTTTTGACTTAAGTCAAAGTATTTTCAGAATATGTAAATTAGATTAATCCAGCAGCATTTATAATCAAATGTCTTTTGTCAGCTGTTGTTTCTTTCTTAGAAGTCAAACTATTCAAATACAACACAATAAGATACAAGATCCAGATTTTCTGTGCATTTTCTATCTTTATGTGGCTGACTTTTTACTCTTTTATTTTTTAATTTTTGACACAGGGTTTCTCTGTGTATCTCTAGAACTCACTCTGTAGATCAGACTGTCCTCAAACTCACAGAGATCTGTTGAAATAGGAGCAGCAGGGCTACGTTCCTGGCACCCGGAAGTCCATATGGCTAGCTCTAGCTTATGGCCCGAAATAATTACACGGAAAACTGTATTCTTTTAAACACCGCTTGGCCCATTATATCTAGCCTTTTCTCAGCTAACTCTAGCACCTGGACTAGCCCATTTCTTATAATCTGTGTAGCCCATGGAATTACCAGGAATGATCTTAACCTGCGTCTGCCTGGAGTGGGAGAATCATGGCGACTCACTTGACTCAGCTTCTTTCTCCCAGCCTTCTGTTCTGTTTACTCCTCCCACCTATGTTTTAACCTATGGGGCCAAGCAGTTCCTTTATTACTTAACCAATGAAATCAACAGATTGATATATGACACTCCCACATCAGAGATCCACCTGCCTCTGCCTCCAAAGTGCTGGAATTAAAGGTGTGTGCCACCATACCCAGCTGCTCTATTTCTTTCTTTTTATTTGTTTTTAAAGATTTTCTCTGTCCTTTTTATTTTCTTTCCCAAGTCTACATATATTTTTAAGCACACTGTAAACCATTTAGAGGCTTTTTTTTCATCTGAATCTATCTTTACTGTGCATCTCTCTTTTCTTAGCACATGAGTCTTTAGTCTGCTAAGCAGTAAGGCTAGAAAAAAGGCTGTGGGCTTTGGTGACTGGCTTGGTCCATTCCTTGGCTTCCTGAGGGTCTAGGTTCATGGTAGAAGCATTGCTGGGAGCCACGTTTACTGCCACAACTCTGTGGAGTTTCTAGGTCTATCCCACCACCAAGAAGCATGTCATTGACTGCTCATAGACAATATTTAAGTGTTTGGTGACAGTGCCTCTTAAAAGAGCCAGCATGTAGTTTTTGCTCCTAATGCTGAGTCACTGACAGCAAACAGAGCCTACTTGGAGAAAAAATGGTTACCAAGAAGCTGTGCTTGACTCTGTTCCTGTCTAGCTAGAATCCTTTCTTTTAAGATTTCTCAAACTTTGTGTGGAAATTCTTACCAGACATTTGGCCACCATTTGTAGATAGACGTTTCTGTCCCGCACAGTCCCACAGCCATTCAGTCCCAAAGGAACATACAGATGCTTATATTAATTATAAACTGTTTGGTCTATTAACTCGGGCTTATTATTAGCTAGCTCTTACAACTTAAATTAACCCATAATTCTTGTGTATGTTTAGCCACATGGCTTGGTACCTTTTATCAGTGAGGTACTTTCATCCTGCTTCCTCTGTGTCTGGCTGGTGACTGTGTCTCTGCCTTTTCTTTTCCCAGAATTCTTTTAGTCTAGTCACCCTGCCTATACTTCCTACCTGGCCAATCCACGTTTTATTAAACCAATGCAAGTGACAAATCTTTTCAGGGTACAAAAGTATTATTTCACAGCAGAAGCCAGGGTTATTTTCAAAATTCATTCTGTTTTTCAAGAAAGATATTAAAAACGAGGACCAAAAGATGACACAGCAGTTAAGAGCACAGGCTAATTTCCCCAAGGATATAGGTTCAATCCCAGCGCCCACAAGACTCCCCATAACTATCTGTAACCCCAGTTTCTAGGGATCTGATGCCCTCTTCTGGCCCCTACCAGCACTGCACACATGCGGTACATATACATACCTGAAGTCAAATACACACACATACACACAACATTTTTAAAGAAAAAAAATCAAAAGCCAAATACTTTTTAAAAAATTATTTTTAATAAATAAATTTCAGTGAAGACAGAGAAGTCATTCTAATTTTCACACTTGATGGTTGTTAAAAAAAAAAACAACCTATGGGTGGGGAACCTGGAGGCCTTTGAAGATATTTGCTCAAAATTAAGAAGAGGATCAACTGAAAAATAATCAAAAGAGGATAACTTTTGTAAAAGCATTTTTCTGTGTAAACAGTTATCTGTGGTCGTTTCCTGTTACATTACTGGCATGTAGTACATGGCGAATATGTGATAAGTACTTATTGCACTGACAAGCACCCTTGACTGCATCCTTCCTAACACCCAAACCAGCTGGTACTCTTCATCCTTTTTGTGACTCGATGCCACCGGGGGTCATATTCCAGTTGCATGGCTCCTTGGAAGATGTAGTAGTATCCTAAAATGGAAACAAATTCAATTCTTTAACTTTTACTTTGTGTTCCTTTAAAACCTAGAGCTGTTTTTTAAAGGTAATCTAGACTACAAACGGTGTGGTTTGTGATGTCAGTGTTGGGGATTCTTGGCAGTGCACCCTGCTCTGATGTTCCCCTCCAGCAAGCCAGTCTCTGGGTAGAGGTCTTAGGAGAGGACACAGGGTCTAGGTCAGGCACACATGGATCTTTAAGGAGAAAAAGGCCAGGGTGAACTCGGATTTGTTTATAAATCTTCGTCCACTCAGTAGGAGAGGATAATGAACAAAACGGGGGGTTTTATTCTTGTTAAATGCATCATACAGCTCATCCCACACCATGTGGGCTGGACCACTGCTCTGTGACGCCCACAGGCCAGTTTGCTCAGGCTGAAGTTGAACATATTCACACCACAGGCTGGAGAGCGCTGCACCCATGCTGGATCCCAGGCTGCATTTTCGTACTTGAAAATGTGATTTCCGATATTTTCCCAGTCTACTTACGTTTGAAATAGAAGACTGCACTAACTTTAGGACCAACTCCTGAGAAGTGTGTGGAAATGAGTCTGGGATAAGTCGGGTCCATGGCCTGTTGCGCCACATCATACCTGTGGAAGGACCACAGTGAGGAGATGAACGTCATAACACGAAGCACACACTCATCTTTCCTGAAAGTGTTCTAAATGTACCAAGGAAAACTGCAAAGACCTAAAGTTCGATGATTTTCCCTAGGTTATCACAGGACTCAAAACTTGGACCATGACTCTAGTCAGAGCTCTCCCGGCTCCTCAGTCCCTTCCCATGCCACCTGGCATTGATAAGGGCTTGAAATGTAACAGCCCTCGCTGGCCCAATATCTTAGTTGCCTGTCCTCATTTTTGCAAATCCTTTCTAGCAAGATGCATATCAATTATTTTCTCCCATGGTGAAAAGAAGGGGTCTTAAGGGCCATGGCATCAACGGGTTTTGAACATCCATGTTAAAGAAAAACAAATAGTCAAACACATCACATCTACACTGGAGAGCGAGGTCCTAGATTTCCATAAAGTATCTTCTCCTCCTGAGAGAAAAGAAAGAATCAACTTTCTCTAGACTTCCATGTGACAACTGAACTTGCTTCTGTCTTATTTTTCACTCAGTTTAGCTCTCCAGCCGTTACTGGCTCGCCCCGGCCCTCTGGTATTTAGGAAAAGGAAATACTTTGGTCAGTTGGAAGGGTAAAAGGGAGCCAGTAGTTAGACAAATTTTTAAGAATGTCAAATTATGCCAGGCGGTGGTGGCGCACGCCTTTAATCCCAGCACTCGGGAGGCAGAGGCAGGCGGATTTCTGTGAGTTCGAGACCAGCCTGGTCTACAAGAGCTAGTTCCAGGACAGGCTTCAAAACCACAGAGAAACCCTGTCTCGAAAAATCAAAAAAAAAAAAAAAAAGAATGTCAAATTACAACAAATTAGTCCTATTTGTCACCTCTCCAGGAAGTTTAATTTGGTGAAATTACAAGTCCTAGTTTTCAAACGAAGCTAAAGTTGGCAGAACAATTGTTGTCACAAATGTATGGCATTCAGTTGAAATTAGATGTTGAATTTTAAATATTCAAGAAAACATAGAGGTTTACTCTCTTAGTATATTCTGTTATGTCTTATGTCAAACATGCAAATGATGTGGCTCCTGACTGTTTTCCTCAGCAGAGGCCAGGGATGATCCCCCTTCTTCAGCGTTAGGGGAGTGAGACAACCAGACTAGCGGTGGAGTGCATCTGGCCTGCTGGCACCCTGCCACTCAAAGGGCCGCTTCCTCATTTTGTCTTCTGGGTCCAACAGTTATGAGAAGGAGTCCAGGAGCCCAGACACACTCCAAAATTAAATTATATCAGAAACCTGGAGAAAAGAACCAGGTGGGTAGTGACTATTTTACACCCATATTCTCTGCTCTCTCTCCCAAGAAAGACAAAGGCATTTGAGGCTTTCATAGAGAAGATGCCATTGTAACTCACCTCCAATACTGCTTATCCGCAAAGAAGAAAACCTTCTGGCGATATGGGTCGAAGGTGGCTGCATCTATTCTCTTCACTGACGTGGGCAATCCCAGAGTGTATATGCTTCTGGGATAGCTTGGCTCTGGTGCTAAGTTGCTTATTAACCAGTACTTGTCATCTACGAAGACAAAGACAAAGGGCACAACAGAATTGCACCAAAAACTAAAACTTAAAAACACTGACTTACTGTAAAGCATCTCTCTTGTGCAGTGTTCTAATACTCATTTTAATTTTTGTGCTGGCTGGGGCGGGGATGGGGGTGGGGATGAATCTGAGACTCCATCCATGGTAAGCAGGTTCTCTGTCACTGAGTAATATCAACCCACCCTGTTTTTGTTCTCACTCATTTTTTTACCTCCTGTGGCTCTGTGGTTTGGATACGTTTAAGTGCCATTATCTTATATTCCACACATCTATCCCAAAGGCTGCGTATATTTCTTGTATACTTGAGCTTTTATATAAACTGTTAACTTATCATCTAGAGACATGATTACCGAAGTCTACAGTCTGTTTTTAGTATCTAATTATAAAAAGAGGTACCTTTTTCTACCATGTTCTCAGTGGCAGAACCAAGCATTGGCGTTACCTTTAAAAAGAAATAGTTGATTTCTGCTTTCAATTTCATAAGCAGCTTGGATACCAGACGGGACAGTTGGCCACATGGAAGAAATTGAAGTGATATTGGAGGCTAGACTCCCAGGTCGTGTCCACCAGAAGAACCTGACATGAAAAGCATTTAATATATGTGAAAATTGCTGTAGATTCCTTCAAAATACAAATGGGAACTTGTGAAATGATTCAGTATTGATTCTCACACTTTATTCCATAAGTGTCTGTATGAGAGCACCCTGAAAGAGTGCCTTAATCAATTCTGGTAGTGACACTGATTAAACAGGAAACCAAAATAAATAAATAAATTCAGAGTCTGGACTCCAGGGATCTAAGATTCTAGTATAGTCTCCCAACTGGTTAGCTGGTTTTGTAAATGGAAGAAGTTGCTGTTTTACAATCTCAGGAGCATCCATCCTCCCTCCCACACATTAGCTTCCCCACTGACCTCCCCCAACTCAGCCTCTGTCTCCATCTCTGCTCCAACACGGAAACTGGGAACCATTCTGGAGTTCTCCATGTACAAAAAGAGGTCTACATAGGAAGTTTTTAGGGTCTTAATTTCTGTGTATGTGTGGATACATGTGTGTATTATGTACATATGTATATATGCATGTGTGTATATTTGTATGTATGTGTATATATGTGCTTATGTATATGTGTATTGTGTGTATATATTTAAGTGTGTATATGTATGTGCATATTTGTGTGGTATATATGTGTGTATGTATGTGTTTATGTATGTTTGCATGTGTAGATGTTTATGGATATGTTTGTGTACATGTGTGCACTTGAGGTGTCTTCCTCACCCATTCCCCCTTATCTTTTTTTTTAAATAAAAAGTCTATGTTTTAAAGATCTTTTGTATAAAAACGTTGTACAGGAAAGAAAACTCTAGATAAAATCCTTAACTGTCATAAAACACAGACTAAGGGGATCTTGGATTTATAGAACTATAATAATACATTTAAATAAAAGTCCAAATACAATATAAAAAGGTTAGAATTTAAATTGATTACTGAAATATTTCCCTTATGAATTTCTAAAAGCACCTATGCCATTCCAGTTCAGAAGTTGATAACATAAACAAGTGAGAAAACTTGACTTACAGCCAGTATTACAGAATCCAGTCTGAGGAACACTGCTTATTATTCATTTTGGCTGCTAAGTGTGTTTTCTTTTTTTTTTTCTTTTGTTTGTTTTCATTAAGCCTGGAGCTTTTGGGTTCTGTTAGACTGCTTGAGACTCCACAAGCCCCAGTGAGTCTGCTTTCCTCTGCTGCACACTGGGACTTCACAGTCCATGCAGCTGCCCCTGAATGCATCTATGTGGGGGTGGGGATTGATCTTAGGTCCTCTTGTTTGAACATCTTGTACTTTGCCAGCAGAACCATCTCCCCAATACCTGATACTGCATCCTTTTCAACCTGGGCTTCTCAACTTCCTGTCTTTTAATTCCCCAGCCAGATCCCACTACAAATATAATTTTTTCACACATTAGCTTCCTAGTCACGCAAACAGTATCACATAATTCTCTACTTCAAAAAATCTAAGATCTCTCCAAAACTTGAGAACCAGTCCAAGTTCCTGCCACACAAATTTGATCTACATTCTTCCAAATACCTTCTGGCAACAAACAAACAAAAACAAAAGCTACCAAACCTAACCCCACAGCCTATAGCATTGACTAGATAGGAAAATAACCATACCAGTCTTTAAAGAAGAAGATTTTATCTCCCACTGTGGTGACCGCATCAAAGCTCAGGCGCTGCCGGCAGATCATTGGCAGGCGACGCTCAGGACGCATCGTGGGTGGGCTTCTTACTGGGGCTCCTAAAAAGACATTTTGATGTTCAACTCTGGGAATTCTGTGGGAGGAATAGCTATTCTTTTTAAATATTCTGTTCCTTAAAGGAAAATACAAAGCAGTCATGTTTCCTATGAACTTCATGAGAAGTATGCCCCGAGGACTTTGTCCCTCTTAGTTACAGCATCACAGAAGAGAATACTTGAATTTACTTCCTCTGGAAGCCCTGCCAACAGAGCAGTGGTGGCACTGTTAGGAAATGTCCCAGATGTGAGGGCAAATGAAGACAGGGTCTGTGTAGCTTATCTCACAGGGTGTGCAACAAAAGAGTAAAATTTCCAAATATAGATATGAGAGATTATTCATAAAAATGCATGGCACTGTATGGCAAATTATGAGGTTCGACTTACCATAGAAAGACTGAATGCTACTTATGTCATCATCAGAGAGGCGGAATGTGTTGGGGTCAAGGAAACCATAGCTGGGGTACATGACTGAGTTTGGATTGTTGGAATGATGCAGCCCCAAGGAATGGCCAAGCTCATGAACAGCAACAAGGAACAGATTCGTACCTAAGAAGCAAAAAGGTGAAAGAATAAAGCTGTGGGCTTTATCACTTTCTATTTAACTCACACAAGAAACTGTACATGTTTATAAGGTGCCATGTGATGTTTTGATGCCTACACTTATTGCATAATGTTTAAGATAGGGTATGCACCGTGTATCTGTGGTAAAAATACTCAAAATCCTTTCTTCTAGCCTTTTGAAGTAAATAGTACACTACTATTGTCTACAGTTGTATTGCTGTGCAGCAGATTCAAGACTAGGACTCCATGCTCCTAACTGTGACTTATTACTAGTGCATCAACCATTACCCACCCAACTCCCCTTGCTCTTCTTCATCAGGTACCCACAATTCTGCTCTCAACATTTATTTAACTTTTCTCGTGTCTCAAGATGAACAAGATAATGGGGTACTCATCTTCCTATGCTTGACCTTTTACACAAGGCCCGGTACCATCCCCACGAGAGGAGTCCAGCCTTAAGTGGTTGAATGTCATCCCATTCTGAATGTGCTGTGTCACGTGAGTGCAGGTATCTACAGAGGGCAGATGTTGCTATCTGCCTGGGGTTAGTGTCAGAGGCCGCTGTGAGATGTCTGACCTGGGTCCTGGGAATAGAGCCCAGTGTGCTCTCTTAACTTCTGAGCCTTGTCATTTGAAAGGAAACAATACATCTAACACAGTAGAGGTCACATTTAGAAATCTTTTACTGATTTCCCTGTGTTTTTAAATATCCTTTCTCAGTCTCAATGATGTCATTATAGGCTAGGTAAGTATTGTCAGAGCAGTTCTCTGTCACAGATATTTTACCACTCTGTGGAAGTTTGAATCCCCACTTCTGCATTCAACTAAAAATGTCTGAAAATGTTCCTTTGGAGCCAAAATTGTCTACAGGTATGGATCAATTTATTGCCAGACAAATGGAACATATTCTGGCATGAATCTTCATAACACAAATCATAGGTATATTTGGTAGCTCACCTTGCTTCTAAATCTTAATTAAAGCTTGGTCTGTTGTTCTAACCACTCAGGAGGCTGAGACAGTGGGATTGGCTAAGCCTAGGAATTCAAGATCATAATGTTTTGTACAATTAGCTCCATTAGTCCTGGTCTTCAAACAGGACTTTCTGTCTGTCTGGTGCTTCTGTTAGGTTGTATGTCCTTTTTGTTTCTTAATCAAAAATATCACTCAACTCTATAACAGAAACTAAACAAGCACTGATCAAACTCTTCAACACTGGTTCAAAACAATATGTCAATACTGGATGTGGTGCTCCGTGTCTATATCCCAACTCAGAAAGATGATGTAAGAGGACTCTGAGTTCAAGGCCAGCCTGGGCCACAAAGATAGAATTTTCAAAAACACCTTCTTAAAATTATAGACTCAAATCAATTTTAAGAATAAGGCCAGGAGCCAATAGTACATGTTTTTGTCCCCATTTTTGCACAAACTTGCTTTTACTTGGTCTCTTCAGGCAAGAGCAACTTACGTTTCTAGGGTCCATTGGGATTCCAAAACATTCTCACTTGATGAATAGTTTACAAACAGCCCCTATATGACCCCAGAAAAAACTGAGACATATGGAACCTGTCTGGTTTAGAATTTAGAGTTCAACAAGTACTGAATCATGCATCATGTACCTCTGCGGTCTCCAAAATGCCCTTATCAAAAACTTGATAAGTTTTAGGCTGTGTATCAGAGTCAAAGCTGTAGGCTGTGTGTCTACCTTCCAGGTAGATATGGTATATATGAAAATATAGCTATACATCACATGAAAAATCAGTGAGAGAAGGTATTCAGGGCGGAGTGACTATATTCTTGAATTTCTCCCTATGTTTTCCACAAGAATAAATTGTATAATTGAGAATTTCCAAAAGATATTAGAAAAGCTATTCAGATGATGACTTAAATTTACTTATACTATGGATTGCCAATAATAATAATAATAATAATAAGAAGAAGAAGAAGAAGAAGAAGAAGAAGAAGAAGAAGAAGAAGAAGTTAACCTCATTCTCCATTATCTGAACGGGATAGTGAGTTACAGTCTGGACATTCTGAAAATGGTATCACATGATGATGCAAGGCTCCAAGACTACAAATGAGCCTGTACTTCTCCATCAGGATCTGTAAATTTTCTATAAATATCTTTCCAATTCATCACAAATCTAAGAAATTGTTAGTATATAATCAATCACAGAATTGTTTGCCATTAAGTTTATAGATTTTACTGGTCAAAGCCCAACCAGAAGCTTTTGTCTTTCCAGGAGTTAATAGTACGGAACTTGCTCATATGATCTCGGTGGTTCTTAGAGCTGGTCTCTAACATAATCAGATCCAGTAACTCTGATCTGCAATGAGGAAAAATTGGACTAAACGTATAAAGTCTTATATGTGATTTAGAGATGAGCAATTCGACTATATTATTTAAGACTATAATGATTATTTAAGAATATAAAAATTTGTAAGATTCTTTCTTAAATCTAGTTATGGTTAGTTTTCCTTTTTTTCTCCTACCTTGAGAGGAACTTTTACTCCAGGTTTCTGCCACATCAAAATGTGCATCTCCTTGAATGCCAGGTCCAGGGTAGAAAGCATGGGCCAGTACACCACCTTTTCCATCAAAAGCATTGCGGTCTCCATGCGCTTTTGAAAACAAAAGAAAGTCAATAGTTAGCTACATCGGTCAAAAGGCAAGAGAGCTGCACTTGGGGACATCACATGGTGTGGTAAATTTGGAGGTTGTGTACCTCCAAATGCAAAAAGGATCATGATGTCAGCCTCGCCTTCATAAATCCTCCTGAATCTCAGAAGACTCACATCACTCCAGACTTGAAAAGCTTTCTGAAATGCGTAGTCAACATCCTCACGCTTCATGTTAGGAGTGTAATTAATGATTCTGTGTTAGAGAAAGATAGAAAGACAAGCATGACACCACTGGCTAATTTTGTCTTTTCTAGTCTCTCCGTTCTGCACCCACACCTGAAGGAAGAATGTCTTCACATACTGACAGTCCAGATAAAAAATACTCTTTTGAAGTTCAAAACATTTTTTCTCCGGAAAACTATTATATCAATCCAAATATATTTTAGTTTACCAAATAAATTACTGGTAACTATCGTGAAGGATTTAGTTTCATAAACACAAATACCCATTGTGCCCAAATTCCATATTTATCCATCTTTAATATTCTACATACTTCTCCTGTCTTATTTGTATTTAATTCAGATCCATTCTTTGTTTGCAGCTTTTCTGCTCTGCTCTGAGCTGATTGACTAGCAAATGATGGCACATCTCCTTATAGAGATAATGAATTATGTGGGGGAGCCTGTGTGTATATGCATGTTCATATGTGTGTAGGTATGAGTGTGGTGTGTAAGTGCATGCAGAGGCTAGAAGCTGACTCAGGTGTCCTCCTCAATCACACTCTACTTTATTTGTTGAGGCAGAGTCTCTCAACCAAAACTGTAGACCCGGATTCTACTAGTCTAGCCTGCCCTGGGCCTCCCCTATCCCTGTCTCCTGCGCCTGTACAGCTTTTCCGTAGTTTTTAGGGATCTGAACTCAGATCATCATGGTTGTATGACAAGCACTTTCTCCCCCAGTCATCACACCGGCCTGGAAACAATGAATGCCTTCGTGTTAACACCGCACAGAGGCTACCCTCAGCCTTAAAACTTTGCTGTAGCTAAATGTTTCAGGTTTCTCGAAGCCACACGCATGGGAAAGAAAAATTCACTGGGTCAGATGCTGACATTACCTGTAGGTGAGGTGATGCTTGCTCCATATTGACCTCAATGGCACTGCGCCACGATGCTGCACATCAGATACTCCACAGCGAGGGGTGTGCATTATCTTCAAAGTAGGCTTGTCCAGCTGCCCAGTTGCTTCGAGCCCAAAGAACTGCTGCATTTCCTGGAGTTTTTCTTCTAGGATGTTTCTCTTGACTTTTGATTTTAGCATTGAAATTCTGTCCTCATCAAAGCCATAATATTTTTTCAAGTACCTCTGAACAAAACACAAGTAATGAACACAATTACACTGTACACTGTACACAGCCACGTTTCTGTTGGGACCCTGCAAACATGGTCAGCAGTACACTGGTGCTCCTGAACCACATATTTTAATTACAACCTATATTATTATTATGTAGACAATCAATTATAAGAAAGAAATTTAACTTCCTAAGATATTTAAGCATGTCACAAATAATTAGTCTGATTCCCAAGAGCCCAGTGGAAAAGCTATTTATTATTCTGCTTCTTCAGACTTGTGTCTGGGGTTTTAGAAGCCATTTTGACACCTAGTGTATAAGGGTACATTGTAAGTGGCAAAATCTTTGTTGTTAGGGTACTTAAACCATTTTGTTTGGCATTGAAAGTTGACTTAGCTGGGAGATGTAGCTTAGTGGCAAAGCACTTGTCTAGCATGCTTGAAGGTTTGGGTTTGTCTCTGGTATGGGGGAAAATCTTGACACAGTGGAAGACTTGGAAAATTCAAAGTAAAAATAATGTTAGAAAATAGAGCCAACTGCTGAGCCAATACAAAAGGGCACCTGAGGCCAGGAGTTCAAGACCAGACTGGACAACACAGCAGACCCTGTCTCAAAAAGGAATGTATGCAGTTTTAGAAAATAAGAGCTCAATGTTCTTAATTATAAAAGTAAGATGTTTTAAATCTTATTTTAAAACACTTATGAATAAACATGTGAGATAAGTGAGCACAGAGGCAGCTTGCTGCAACTATTATGAGAATTTAAAGTGGCTATATAGATTAAGCCATGTCCAAATCCCACATTAGTAATGGACATTAAATTACAAATGAAAGACAAAATGTGGTAGGAGAGAAAACACAACACTCCGTCAGAAATGTGATCCTATTATATTGAGCTAAAATTATTTATCCAAAGCTTTTTGTAGACAGCACAATTATTCACAGATTTAATAATATTCTTTCAAAACAATCATTTGTTTTGATATTCCTCTGTGAAAAAAAAACAATGCTTAAAAAAGCAGCTATCTATGCTGCTTTTCAAATCAAATCATACTTTTCAAAACAAACTTGCAAATTCAGTAAATATTGCAAAACTTGCAACATCAGAAAAGATTTGACCAGTGCAATCTTGTTAGTACTTACTTCAGCAAATTCTAGTTCATTCCTGGGAGCGGCTGCAGAGGCAGACACCTGGAAGAGCGCAAAGAGCATGAGGACCTTCATCATGCCCAGCTCCTTTCAGCCGAGCCGTCTTCACTCTGCTCCCCGCTGCAAGTTCCCTTAAAGTTTACTTTTTATAGCCCTCTAAACCGGATCTGCGAACCTGAAATCCTCAGAGTGACTCACAGTTGTTATCATCCCTTGCTTTCCTCCAGGATCATGTGAACAGTGGGTGAGAGTGTCATCTAACTAATCACTCATCTAAGCGTGTCTAGTATTTCTTCAAAAGGACCAGTGAGCCTGAGCTACTCATTCACAAGCACAGGTAAGACCCAAGAACAGCAAATCTACCAAACACACACAACAACTCCGCTAGTAAAGTTTTGGAAAGCTTGATGTTGTCAATTCTCCCTTTTGATGCTTTCCTTATACCAATTATAGATAAAGTGCCTTCAAAGAAATTTTAAAAGAATGTGTGAAGAAAAAAAATTGCTAGAATATACGAATCCTCTATTTGTTTAAAACTTTAAACCTTTGTTCAAACACAAGAGAAAGTTTGGGACAGCAGTGTGCTTTGATACTTGCTCTGTGTGCACGCTTAGGTTCTTATATGGACTGAGATTTTAGACACTAGAGCAGAAACCCAACCCCAGCTGGATGTCTGCAAAGATTCTGGAGCTCACTTCCTCCTCACCCATGCTGCCTGGAGTAGGCAAGAGTGGGCAGCCTGAGCGCGACACTGGCAGAGTGTGTAGGGAAGACTTCCCTCTGCAGCCTCGCCGTCTCCTTCTCCTAACCCCGACCCAACCATCTCATCTGCTCAGTTCCACCTCTCAGTCAATGAAGTATTTAAAGAAAGAAAACATTTGCCAAACAAGGAGTGAAATTCCCGAAGTAGAATTTTGGAATGTGAGTTGTGTGGACAGGGTTCTGTTCAATCCCCTTTTATCCCACCAAGCAGCTTCTAGATGAAGAGTCTAGCACAGGGGTGAACAAACAGGTTGTAATGTAGACACTGCTCCTTCCAATCTGCTGGACGGGGACATGATGGCTATTTCCTAATGTTAAATTTTGTTCATTTTTAGGGGCCTGTGAGATGATTCGGCAGGCAAAAAAACTTGCTCCAAAACCTGATGACCTGAGTTTGATCTCAGGAACCCACACCGTGAAAGTTGTCCTCTGAACTTCACACGCCTACTATGGCATGCATGCACTCACAGAGACATATATAATAAACAAATATTGACTTTTAGGTTATCATGCAAAACAGCAGATCCAGTATAGCTTTTCCGTATACACATGTCCTGTGTCTGCTCTCCTTTGTTTCCCTTTCCTAAAGACGTTAGAGGTTTAGACTCTCCTCTCCTCAGATAGAAAGAGAAGGGGCCCCACCCGCCACACCACACTATCCCTGTATCCTTGCCAAATACCCCTGCCTCTCTCCTATTCTGTGGCTTGATTTCTAGGTGATCCATTTGAAATGGAGACAATACTCTTTAACCTCCTGTGTTATTGTGACAGGGGGCTAAGCACTCTGGTAGCAGGACAGCAGCTCACGATTATCCAGTCCCTTCCCTTTGACCTTCATGGGGACTATCAGACATTGAATTTGTAAGCAGGTGAAGTTCAAGAATTCATTAAGAGAGTGATAATGTGGTGAACATTGTAAAGAAATCCTTTCAAATATTGAATTTAGCTCAAGAATCATAAGCGGACCACAACTGTGTTGGGCTAGAAAGTGAGGAAACCGAGGGGTTTTGTCTGTTGCTTGTTCTGTATTCCTGGTGATGAAAACTGCCTTGAGGGTAACAGACACTCAGCAAGTCCCTATCACTTGTATCTGGATATAGGACATTAAAGGAAATGAAGCCCCAGGGTGGGAGCAATCACTAACAGGAGGGTGTTCCTGTTTCACTGAAAGAAAGAACTGGTCTCATCCCCAGCAAGACAAAATTGAGTTCTTGGAAGGTTTGCAGGAAATGTCTCATGCATTACAATGCAAGAAGCAGGAGGATAACAAAGATACTAAGAAGTGAAAGACTTCTTTGCTCATGTTCTCCCTCCTTCTGCTCCTCATTGGGACCTTGGGAGCTCAGTCCAGTGCTCCAGTGTGGGTCTCTGTCTCTATCTCCATCCATCACCAGATGAAGGTTCTATGATGATATGCAAGATATTCGTCAGTATTGCTCTAGGATAGGGTCATTTCAGGTTCCCTATCCTCAGCTGCCCAAGGAACTAACTGGGGACCTCAGCTTGGGCACCTGGGAGCCCCTCTAGGGTCAGGTCTCTTGCCAACCCTAAAGTGGCTCCCTTAACTAAGAATTGTGGTTCCGTGCTCCCCTATCCAACCTTCCTTTATCCCAATCCTCCTGTTTCCCCAGGTCCCCCCTCCTTCCCTTCTACCTTTTCTCTCCCCATCTCCCCTTACCCTCATCCCACCCCACCCCCAAGATCCCAATTTTCTCCCCGGCAATTTTGTCTACTTCCCTTAGCCAAGAGGATAACTATATGTTTTTCCTTGGGTTCACCTTCTTACTTAGCTTCTTTAGGTTCACCTATTGTAGACTCCGTGACCTTATTTATGGCTAGAAACCAATTATGAGTGAGTACATCCCATGTTCATCTTTTTGGGTCTGGGATACCTCACTCAGGATAGTGTTTTCTATTTCCATCCATTTGCATGCAAAATTCGAGAAGTCATTGTTTTTTACCGCAGCGTAGTATTCTAGTAAGTCGGGACCACGAGGGGTGCACCCACCAACTGAGACAGTGGAGCTGATCTACTGGGATCTCACCATGGCCAGCTGGACTGTGACTGAAAAAGCATGGGATAAAACTGGACTCTCTGAACATGGCGAACAATGAGGGCTGATGAGACGCCAAGGACAATGGCACGGGGTTTTGATCCTACTTAATGTGCTGGCTTTGTGGAAGCCTAGCCAGTTTGGATGTTCACCTTCCTAGATATGGACGGAGGGGGGAGGACCTAGGACTTACCACAGGGCAGGGAACCCTGACTGCTCTTTGGACTGGAGAGGGAGGGGGAAAGGAGTGGGGGGAGGGGGAGAAGGGTGGGAGGAGGGGGAGGGAAATGGGAGGCTGGGAGGAGGTGGAAACTTGTTTTCTTTTTTTTCTTTCTCCTTTTCTCAAGAAAAATAAATAAATAAAAAAATAAAAATAAAATAAAAATTAAAATTAAAAAAATAAAAAAAAAAGAAGTGAAAGAATACCCACATTTTGGTTCCCCTATGTCTCAACTCACTAGCTGCTCCAAATTGATTCAGGGTAAGGAGATAAAGGCCACATGGGCAGTTACAGGACCCAGAAGAGGGTGCCAACTTAATTCCTAGACTCAGGCAGACCAGCTTACGCATCTCGGTCTGTTGTTTAATGACCTCAAGCTACCACTTTAACTTGGTAACAAATGGATGAGTTTTCCATTTGTAAAGTTGGGAGTAAAGATTGCTTCTACATCAAGAATGACTATAAATATTGCATTAAATAATAGAAAAAAGTAGTGAGCCAACGGCCTGGCACACCTTAAAGATTACCTACAATGCAACCCTATACCTAAGGCTCAGAGAACAGCACAAAAGAGGGGTAAAAATATTCTGAGAGGAGAAGCCCAGGACCCTGCTGTGAGCTAGTGACTTCGGTACACAACAGTGAAGCAGCCACCTGTGTAATTACAACACCAGTACGGATGCGGGAACTATCACAAGGTTTCTAAATGAAAAGCTCCATGCAACTAACGTTTGTTGAGAGAAAAAGAATCAGTTTTCTTTGGGGATGAACCTCCTTGATATGTTATCCAACCCCAGATG